CTTTTTACACACAGTCTTACGTGCTGTTCGCTTCGCAGCCTCCAACAGATTCATCACGAAACAGTTATCCGTGTGGTCATGACAACCGTGCAAGCCGTGCACCCACTGTATGGCATACACCGCACTAGAAACAACCGAGTGCGATGCCCCGTTATCCAACAGGTGGTTGATGTATATGGCGATGTGTATAGGGCTCGCCGGTAACGCCGTGTGCCCCTGACCGTTAATGAAGATCTCCCAGCGCTTGAATCCCCCGTAGTATTTAATGTTTGTATTTGTACTCCTGCTGCTCAACAATCTATCTGCCATGCCTCTGGCCATACCGTGTAGTTCCGACCCCGTTAAGACGCCATAGTCGGTTACCTCTCGTTCCACTGTTCGTTGCAACCTCACACCTGTAAAACAAAATTGAATGCGTAACACACAATCCAAACACGCCTACATACTTTAGCTAAAATCTAACCTGACCGCGAGCATGTCAAATGCTAGCATGGCCTTACCGAAACATCCATTGTTTCTTCTACCCGCTTTAGTAACATTGACATTCGATAAATTCCGCCAACCTGCAACGAAACATCCGTTAACCCCGAACACCACTGGCCAAAATGCTGCCGATTTCCACACAGGAACTATGAGCGTTCCACGTCCCTTCTCAGCCTTCATTTTATTCACCGTTTTACAAACTAAACGTGGTGGAGGAACCAACCAATTGTTCTCACCTGACCAGGTAAACGTAAACGCGTTAACTCCCACCGTTTGATCACACCGCCATCTAGAATTAAACCTTACGCATTTCTTATTATAATGCGATGCAAACCTGTCAACGCTGTGTGGTCCCCATGTTTCCTCACACATACTATACACCCACTGCTGCACTTGCCAATCATCACAATCGGAGCAACGGCTCAGATAGTCGGCCGTCTGATTCTGTTCCCCAGGTACCCATTGAGTACACAGATTAATTTCATACCTATCGCAGAACTCGTCCATTTCACGAGCGATCGTCTGTAATTTAGATTTCCCGCTACCTACCCTCCCGATTGAACATGCGTTTTTACTGTCCATCATAAGTCTGATATTTGGACCTCTCACATTTTCCTTGGCGGGATATAATACACGTTTAGCCGCCTCCAACTCTCTCCAAGTTGAGCTTTGCCGTACCTCTGATCCGTTCCAGGATCCTAATACCACCTCCGTGCCTTCCCTGTTCAAATCCTGAACACTAAACATACTTGCCCCGGAAGTACTCTCCGTTTTCCGAGAGATCCCATCATACACCCATGTGTCCTTATCACCCGACAACAGGCCTGTGTGCCCCGCCTCCCAGCCCTCCAAAGGGATCCCACTCTGCAGGGATTTTTCCTGGGCGCACATACGCCTCCGCCGTTCCGGCGCATTATCTGTACCCTCCAAAGGGTATCCCACACCCGGGGAAACATGACCTACCAGTCGTGTATCAATCTCCCCCTCAGGGTATTCATTACCGACCACAAAACCACCAAAACCAAAATCTGAAGGATCAGTACACACCGTGACACCACAAACAATGCTATCTGTCAATTTTGAACCCTTACTGTTCAACTCCTTCACATTCAACAACCAAAACTCTATCTCATCTAAAGCTTCCGCACTCAGATACACACACGCGTTCCAACTAGCTCTAGACAACAAACATTTGTACAAATCCCGTGTGTATAGCCTAGCGGTTGCGCCCACCACTCCTTGCATAGAGATCACCTGACCAATAATACCGGCTATGTACCTAGCCGTAAACAAGGTACGCCCTTGACTGACAAGCCTCGTTGTGTGTGTTAACAAAGAAAACAGACGATGTTCCCTGTCCATCGTTACTCTGACCAAGCCTTCAGTCATATTCCACACGTATCCTAACCACGAAACCTCCCTGGACGCCAACCAATGGCACTTCTTCTCAGCAATAACAAAACCAAAATCCCTTTGACATTGCTGTACAAACCTGCTCGTACCGTTAGCCCCACCCTCTGCACTATCTCCGCCAATCCCGTCATCTAAATACATAATGAGTCTGTGGCCCGAGCTTCGAATATATTTCACCACCTCCCTCAGTACTTTTGTGAAAATATATCCCGCTGTAGAGATACCGAAAGGTAACACATTGAACACAAACAAATGTGCCTGACCTTTTACCGTGAACTGAAATCCTAAAAATTGCCTATGACTAGGGAAAACTTCCACGTGGTGATATGCGGATTTCAGATCGAACGTAAACAAAAAATCGCCCTGACTGAACATCTCTCTGGCAACACTGGCGTCATCATATTTAAACTTGAACTTATGTAAACATTCATTCACGTGTCGACAATCAAGCACTAGACGTGCCTTACCTGATTTACCGAAAGCTACGGTAAGTGGATTCACTACCTCCGGCTGTACCTGTGAAACGGATACACAACCTCGCGATAACAAACCCTGGATTTCTTTCTCTACGAAATCAACATTTTCTCTTGCAGACCTATTATTAGCTAACATAACTTTGGATGGTAATTCCTTAAAAGGAATCGTATATCCCTCTGAAACAACCGACAAAACAAAATCGCTCGTACCGGCGCTCTTCCAAAACTCGACACGTCCCTTGAGCCTCCCTACCGGAGATAAAGCCTTGTCAGCTTTCTTACCTGTACCCCGCCCGTCTGCATGGACATTCTCCGAGTCACTTACCTCATGACACCCCACATTTTTGGGTGGACAGCTCTCTGCTGTATGTTCTACTACATGCTTAACATTCAAAAGTTTACTTAACTTATTCGCGACTCCCACCGCATCTGTTGCCCCTCTCGTGATCCCTGGACACTCCATCCTCCAGTGTCCTACTTTACCACAGGAATAACACGTCCCGGGCCTGAAGCTTCTAACCGTTGGAATGGGTTGTTCTGGCGCTTGATACTTCTGGCGAACGTCATACGGCACATAACGTCCCCTGCCTCTGCTGTAGCCCCTGGCTCTGTTACTGACGTTCTTAATTTTCTTACTGGCGCGTGCACGCGCCCTGTCCATCTTCTTTTCATCCTCCGAATCAGAGGCAATAGGGTTGGCTTGGTACTCCTCCACGGCTTTCCACCCGGACTCCGAGGTGTCCGCTAACTTTATTAACTTTTGCCTGTAATCCAATAAACTTATACCCTCACTTATTTTGGTCTTTGCAGTCGAGACATCCGTGTTAAACGCATGGTCCGCTTCCAAAAGCTTGGCTTTCACCATTGAAGTTAAATTGCTTCTCGCAACTTTTCCTGACAAATTTATGGGGCTCTGCACTCAATAAATCCTGCTGGATCTTGGCGTACTGATTGTCGGATATGTCGAGTTGTCTCTCCGTTATATTTTGCTCGAACAACGCTAGTTTACCCGAAATAAGGCTATCTAAGTTAGCCAGCATGTCATTTTGTGAACTTATCACAGCCGAATGCACTTCATGTGTAATAGCTGATGTGATATTAGGATCCATATTAGATTTTTAACACATATAGATAAAACTATTTACAGGGTACAGATTTAGAATGTTGAAGACAGGTATGACACAGGGATAGCAGACTTGAATGCTTCCACTGTGTCAAATCCATTGACTCATGGTGCGAGGATAGAAGGAAAATGTATACGTATCTTTTGTGGTCTGTATGCTTTTGAAGGCATGAGGATTGTGGTGGCTGGATCTGGTTCTACTGTCAGCTGGTATTAAAAGGTTTGTTGGATAAATTGCTACTACATTATTCCAAATTTTGTAAAACATGACCAAACTGAAGTATAATCTGCGGGGAGGCCAATGTAGTGTTTCCATCATTTCAGTTACAGAGCTGGTGTTATGATATCTGTGGCAGACAAACCGTGCAGCGCGTCGTTGGACTTTTTCAATTTGGTTGATTTGGTTGTTGTTATGTGGGCCCCAGACAGGTGAGCAGTATTCAAGTTTTGGACCGACAAGGGTTTTGTAGGCATGATGTTTTACTTTGGAGGAATTTATTTTCAAGTTTCGGCTAAGGAAACCCAAGGACTGATTAGCTTTAGTGGTCATTGAATTTATGTACTTCTCCCATTTTTGGGTTGATTGTAACCTGACATGCTTTTCACAACACGTCTGCCATTAACATCCAAACCGGAAACTGAACATAATTAAAGGGTTCGCAAATGAAATTTTTATTTTATTTTCGATTAGAGATTTTTGTTTTTATAATAAAAAAAACCCAGCGATACAAGTAGTGGAGATGACCAAGCTTTTCCATTAAGTTTGGATGGGGCGATCGAGCCACGGTTGTAATTATACAGAATAAACACAATATTATTTATCTTAATATCAGAATGTATGCTTAAGTAACCACAGAACGTACACCTGACATGCATGACCGAACAGAGCGAAGACGGCTGGTCAGTTTAGCCAATTGGGATTGGCCTGTATTGGCCGCGTACGGTCAAAGCTGTCACCGTTCTGTTACACTGTACCTGTTCCCTGACGTAGTTTTCCTTAGTACAAAGGACAAACGAAAGATCAAGTTGTTTGGTGTGTTTAATTCCTTTTTTGGATTAATTGGACTGCCAACAGGTTATAAAATCTAAATCAGAAAGTTCATATTTACGAGTTAGACAAATTCTGCTCAAAGTTCGGGTGAACAGGATAGAATTATTCAATCAATATTATGTATATCTGAAAAACTGTTTCGAAGCTATTTTCGATTAAAATTTTTAAATCCGAAAAATCGATTCGAAGATAATTTATCTGAAAAAGAAATACTTGGTTGAATGTTAGCTAAACTAAGCAAGCACCTACAACGACTGCGCTAGAATTACGGTTGTATACTGGTTAAAACTTGTTCTTGAAAATAGGTATTTGAATTGGAAAGGTATTTGCTGTTTTTATCTGTTTTCAATTATTACATTATTATCAGTGCTGAGTTCAATATATCAGTGTTAAACAATTACTACACTTTAAGTTCTGAACGACGCTTCATTTCTAGGAGCATTATTCCGAAACAATGACGGTGTCACCAGCTCGCCTAACTGCTGTTGTGTTGCTAAGTTTACTGGAGGTGCTACTGTTTGGTGGTCTGCAGTACGGATGGACTTCCTTACTTTACATCTTAAAACAGGAGCACGTATTTGAAGACCTCTGTAAAAAAGGCGATAACGTCACTTCCGGAAATGGAAGTTATGTGGTTTCCGGTGAAGACTGTTTCCCTCAGGATGAAAGATTTAACTTGATCTTCAGTATTGGTGTAGCAGTATTTACAGTGATATGTGTCATAACGGGACAACTTTACTTCAAGTTTGGTGTGAGGGAAATACGGACTCTCAGCGGGTAAGTATGGAGTTTTATTAGAACCGTGATGATAAATGTCATCACCTGTAGTACTGCCAGGCATTTTTATTACTATACTCTACATACATGTATTATATACGTTTTTTGACACTGAAATATTGGATTGTATCAACTTTCATACATCTAATATCTTTCATCTTGTGACAAATATCAAAAGTATTGTTTGTCAAAGTGTGAACGGATCTTAAGTAATGACCAATCAGAACGGTCCTTACCATTCACTGCATCGAACGTTACACGTTTCCTGTTCAGCTGTGGACGAAGAGATGGTAGACTAAGTTGTTATCTCTGTTCACAATACAGTATTCACACAACTACATAATTGATTACTTCTGCATAAAAGAATCGTACCATTTACTGACAGGAAACGGTAAAAACGCTCAGAGTAGTCCCTCAACATTACTCTCTGTCTTTTTCAAGTGTGACGTTATTAGAACACTGCGTCCAAGGTTACCCTTCAATTTCCAGTACATTTTTAATGTGGTAACATTTCCGACTTTGTACTTTGAAAATGTAATAATTAGGGAATGTATGGGGTTTCTCTATAAATAGCATACATATTTCACGCGTAGGTTAAAATGTACCGATATTGTCGATCGTGAAAAATATCGATACTTTGCTCTGCAATGACATTCAATACGAAATAAGAAAAAATCCCCAATTTATTTTATACTCGTTTGGCCATTTAACCAATAATTGTGTGTTCTCAACCGGAGACGCTTAAACCTTCGCTTAATTATTTTACATCTTTCATCACGACTTCAATTGTCACTGTAATATCTCAGCGTTGTTGTGTGACCAATGTGTCATAGACAACTTGGTAAACTACACACCCCACATGTGTGGCCAGGAAATTCTCACTCCTTGGACCAACGGCGGGGGAGGGGAGGATGGGAGGGGGATTCGTTAGTTCCAGTTTTGTTTTGACTCAGAGTTTCTGGGGGTTTTCCCTGTTTTTTTGTCTTATTTCTCCACTTGGACTGACAATAACTGACCAGTCTATGTCGCCATATTTGATTCAAACATATTTTATTTGTCATTCAATAAAAAGGATTAGGCACGAGTTATCTCAACTTAGAAACGCCCTCGCCATGTCTTTCGTAAATTAAGATTTAAAAGACACTTGCTGTTCTTATTATATTGAACAACAAACGTTCTGAATTTGGTATACACACATCAAATTAAATATTAGATTTATTTTCGCAGCAATCTAGTAAATTATATGTCGTTTGGTTGACCTTACAATATCCAATTAAAGGCCACGTGAAGGTGACCTCTGTGTTCGCCAATCAGATGAGAGCTTACCTTGTTGATACCTTCTGTAACTGATGATATTATGATATCGGAACACACCTGTCACTATAAAAAACCGTGGTAATGTCAAAAGATTATTACAAAATGGCGGACTCCTTAACACCGTGTAGAATGTGATATACAAGGGAATGTTTGATAAATGTGTTGGTTTAGGTTCAAAACAAGAGAGTACTGGGTGATCTAGTAAGTGTCGTTAAACATTAAACAGATTACGATAAATAATGAACCGATGACAGGCTCCACCACATCCAAACAGTGGTAGAGTTTGTTGGAGCACTCTGATGTTGGAATCCAAATCTGCGTGCAATGTGCTTTTAGAATGGTTTGAGTGGTTTGTTAGAAATATAATAACGTTTTGAAGTTGCCCTTTGACGTGACCCCTGTTGGGGTGTTGTAAGATCTTCAAGTAACCATATCTGTTAACAGGAGCGGTGCGAACATATAGCATTTGTATACACGTTTACTACAAACCACATAACATTATTGACAATTTCCAGTTTTCTATTCCAGGTTAATCCTTGTCATCGGCGTGCTTTGTTTTGGCTTCACATCTCCAGGTATGTCGGGACAAAACAGAAAATATTAGTTAACATAATAATTGTTGTGTAAAGAAAAATAAGACTTAATAACTTTCAAATCCACAAATGAGTTTCAAAAAATGTGTCCCAATGTTTTCCCGAAGCAACTTTTCATGGCAATTAGACATTTTTTGAAACTCATTAACGTCAATTGTTGGGACCAGAATCTTCAACGTGGCCTTATCTAGACCTAAATGTCTGTGTCCTGACAAACCATGCTAAGCTGTGCTGTAGGCTCTGTTTAATAGTTTATGTAAACTCACTCAAACAACTTAAAACTGAAAACCAATGTATTGAAATAGACTTCGTGTTGTACTTTTGTTAGCTTATGATTCGAGTTCATTCACCTTTGTGCACGAGACATGAGCCATTCAAGTAGAAAAATTTCGTCTGAGCAGAGAATATCCCGGCACAAGATACAAATAATTCAGTAAACGCCCTTTTTTTGTTTACTTAGTCTGTATTGAACTAGGTGAATGGTTTATTTATGAGACTATCATTTTTTGTTTAAGTAGAATGAAAAGAAGAAAGAAACGTAATCGAGTAAATAACGAGAATTTTAATAGCATCCTAGAATATATTTTTTATTGTCCAAATAAAAATAACGGGATGTATGATTCATTCACTTTAAACACTAATTTGATGCTGATAGTAGGAGTAACCCATTTGAGTTGACGGACATTCTGGACCCGCCAATATTGTCTGTACTCCCTCGAGTTGCGGCGGCTGAGGGCCTCAAACGTCTACATACTGAACTAGAGAGATAGTCTTTTCAGTCGAGTCGATACATGTGGCAGAGCGTTGTCCTGCGGTAGCGTCAGTTCGTGCTGTTGTATTAGAGAAACAAAACGCGGATTAGAACCTGAAATCTGCAGCGGCAGAGGTGAGAATGCCAAGACTAAATACCAGGGCAGTCTTGGTAGCATGTGCTACCCTCCCGTAACTATAGCTACTCCCTTTCAAAGCGGTCCTTCTCTATTGTGATGGGATCTCAATAGCATTCATAGAATGACTTCAAATACGATGTTGGTCATCTATGTGGTAACGTGAAAGCCATTACACCGAAAACACGACGCTTCTGAAAGGTTGCAATGAGGAATGTCTAAAGCAATGTCCGCATCTAGCCTGTTGCCACGTGTTAAACTAGGCCGAATCGGTGACAGTGATTTTGTAAACCAGTTCTCTATTCTCGGTCGGAATGTAACGTTTCCTGCATTTGTTTCAGACGCGTCAGTAGTTTTCGTAACCTCTCCTTAATTTTGCTTGGGATGAAATTGTCGATAGGGTTCTACCTTTGACCAGATAGCTCCGGTGGTCAGAGCGATATGATTTATTTCATAATTATAAAGTTCTTCGACACCTGGGCTTCTCACGTTGCAGTTTTACAAGTAGAACACTACTGCTGATTTTGTTTGTTGATTTTCATAAACTTCATTAGGTATGCTTCTCTTCAGAAATGATTTATTAACGCTAATGTCATACCAGATAAACAGTTTCCAATGCAGTAGTACAAGAATCCTTCATAAAGTTTCAAAGCACTTGACAAATGCGTTTGTGTTTGGTTTAGTATGTTATTACTTGTAACCACTTGTAATGTTACACCTAAATATTTCAAATTTCGACCATATTGATGTACCGACTATAGTTCTGACCATGACCTTATTGTGAACCCTAGTATACGGTCAGTCCAGTGGAGTCGATCCCTGCCATATCACATCTACGCTGGGAATATCAGATACAAACATTACGATTGGGCCCAAGTTATTACAACTTATAGAAGCTATAACCTGTGCCCAATCCATTTGATGATATCACGATATTTCATAATTTTGTTACTTTATAATCTTTTTTTGTCTGAACTATTAAGAGGCTTAAGTATTTCTTTACAATCGTTTAAAGCGATACTTAAGTCTGAGCAAGTGATATTCTGCCACACAGTTTGTTAATTCTATTAAAGTAATCTTCTAACTTAAAATATGGGCCAGGCGCTCGAAAATTTCTCTGTCCGTGTGATCATTTTAACTTTTAAGATTTGGGGACAACTTTTCGCGTGTTTCTCGTTGAGAGTATACGCGAAATTGTTTATGCACGCGAAAATTTATAAATATATAATGTAGATTATACATAAATAGATTATATATATTTCAGTACTATTTACTATGTAGACGTTTCCACATTATAATCAGGGTAAAGAGTCACAACGCGAACATTTTTGCACGCGAAAATTCCCACTTTAACAGTATTTAGTTTCTGAACTCTTTATTACCGACAGCTAACCATGTAAATCCTTAGATTTTTTCTTAACTCTTTACTACCGACAGCTAACCATGTAGATCCTTAGATTTTTTCTTAACTCTTTATTACCGACAACCAACCATGTAAATCCTTAGATTTTTTCTTAACTCTTTATTACCGACGCCTAACCATGTTAATCCTTAGATTTTTTCTTAACTCTTTATTACCGATAGCTAACCATGTAAATCCTTAGATTTTTTCTTAACTCTTTATTACCGACAGCTAACCATGTAAATCCTTATTTTTTTTCTTAACTCTTTATTACCGACATCTAACCATTTAAATCCTTAGATTTTTTCTTAACTGTTTATTACCGATAGCTAACCATGTAAATCCTTAGATTTTCGGGTATGGATAGTACCTATTTCAAACTCATTCCAATTTCCTCCAAACAACATACAACCGATATACGAAGCGTTATTTATTTACCGATTTAATGGCTTAACATCGAATCAGTTTTTACATTGTATGTGAAGAATGCGGGAACTAGTTATAATTGGAAAAATAATTGGTATATGCGTATTTTTCAGAACTACCCTGGCTTGTGCTCCCTGGGATAGTATTGGTAGGCGTGGCTGGGATCTCACTTATCATATCTAGCATGCAGGTAGGCAATATCAAAATGTATCTGAACATAACATGTTACAATGACTTCCGGGAACAATCTCCGACCATGTCGTGGAAGGCCGACATGTTCCCGCTCTTCCATATCTGTCTATAACTAAAGCCCATTTCTATACTGCCATACTTGTCGCACATGGCCAGCATGATTATGTCTTACCTGTGAATAACAAAAAGTACTAAATGTTTTTGTTAAATGTACATAACCATGATTTTACCGCCAGGTGGCAGTGCTGTTGCCGAAGGGTTCCTCGGTGTATGTCGGTCTCCTTAATGGCTGTTTCGACTCCTCCGTTGTGACACAGATGGCTGTCAAGGTAAAGCTCTTAGTGTCTCTGTAAAATAGGAAATATTTTGATGAGCGAATCAGACTTTAAAGACATTCCTTTAGATTTTGTACGACTATATATATATGATTAAATATATGATTTATATCATTCTTTCGTATAGACTCTGCACGATAGCGGCATCAACCGCAGATTTTCTTACATCGGTGTCGCCATTTTGTGTGTCGTCATATCCGGTTTCTACACGCTATTGCATCCTGGTTCAAAGAATAAGACTTTAAACTCATCGGACGCCAGAAGTGATGAGGACAAGCAGAAAAAAATGGACGACGACGTCAAACTTCCCAAAGATAGTATTAACATCACATTCAATAACGACGAAAAACAGTTTGAAGTCGCCCCACCGAAATCAGTAACGGACAAAGGTACTTATCTTTAAGATGTTCTGCTACGTTTACGTATATCTCGATTACTAAAGTTCCTTTGTATACCAGGTTTAATCTAGCAACACATGTTTAAGGTTAGAACAGCACAAAGCTTAATAATGTATTACACAGTTAGGTTTATCACAAACTCAGAGGTAGTAAATTCCAGAAGGCCGCAGGTATAAATTTATAGCCCCTCGGGCGAATTTTTTTTCTTCTTTCTTTCACATGTGCACGAATAGACCATGAGCAATAATTCAGGGAACGTGATCCAATTTTCCTGATACATTACATATTCTTAAGCTTTCGACATTGCATTTACGAGGTATAAATAATATATTTCGGAATCCCGTTAACTTGTATACTTAACTATTTTTTACAGAAAAAGACGTTTCAGCGTCTTCCGTTTCTTCCGATGACGTCATTTATCCTCCCGTCGGATCGATCATATGTTCCCGTATATACTTCTTTCACATACTGTGGTTCACCGCGCTGCTGCTGAGGTTCTTCTATTTCATCGGGTCAGTAAACAGACTGATGGTAAAGACCCTGGAAAATGACGGACAGGGTGAGTAAATCCGCCTATTCACCTCCGCCTTTACTTTTACCAAATAAACTTTTATTTTCTTCAGATTTGGAGCGAAACAGACGACATCTTATACCAAATCACGTGATCAATCGAGAACACCTGGAACGTCATTTCTTCTCACATACTCGATTTTGTTTTCAATAGTCCGTATGTAAGTCCACCCATTGTCGTTATTGTGCCCTTACGGTTTTTATGATACTTCTTTATACTCTTGCTGTGGTCTTTTTCACAGAAAACTATTAAAGCATTATGTTGACCTTGCGCGCACACACAGAGTACAACATCAGTCCCACGTCTTTCTGGTGACACATGTTTGGCATCCACAAAGTGTTTGGATGGTGACATTGCAGGAATGTCAATATTTTTGGATTTTTACCCCATTAACCATATGATTACGTATTTATTCGCCTCTTAAAATCGAGAACAGCAATACATTGTACATATCAATTTACTTACACAGAAGGGCGGCAGGTGGCACAGAGGATAACGCACTTGCCGTTCACCAACGCGGTCGCGTTTCGATTCCCCGATCGGATAGGAAAAAGTATGAGTGCACCTGCCCGATCACATGGGTTTTCTCCGGGTACTCCGGTTTCATTCCACATTCAAACCACCCGCGCACTAACATCCGGACCAACAAGAGTGGTTTATATAAGTCGAATATCTTGTTTCTAGCGCAGGATCAATCGTAGTGATGTACTTACTGCATGTAGTGTTGACGGAAGTGGTCAAAGGGCAGCTCATCGAAGCAGACATGTAAAAAATCCAGTTAATCTTCCCCTTCCAGTGTAATGCGCAGATGTTAGAATAATGTCACTTGTTGTTTTGTCAGGAAACCTCTTAAAAAGTCCTGAAATGTTGGTGCGATGACAGTTAAATGACCAATTTGACGTCATATGACTAAGTAGTTGCGTTGTCTCATTCAATTTGGACACTTTCGCCACCTGAAGTAAGCTCCCTTTTGCTCCTTTTTCCATGGGAAAGTGGCAACAAGGGGTTATGAGGGGTAAAGTGGTAAGCAGATCAATGTTGTTGTGAGGGGTGAAGTTACCAGCAAATCAATGTTGTTGTGAGTGGTGAAGTGGTCAGCAGATCAATATTGCTGTGAGGGGTAAAATGGTAAGCAGATCAATGTTGTTGTGAGGGGTGAAGTAGCCAGCAAATCAATGTTGTTGTGAGTGGTGAAGTGGACAGCAGATCAATGTTGTTGGGAGGGGTAAAGTGGACAGCAGATCAATGTTGTTGGGAGGGGTAAAGTGGCCAGCAGCTCAATGTTGTTGTGAGGGGTAAAGTGGCCAGCAGATCAATGTTGTTGTGAGGGGTAAAGTGGTCGGCAGATCAATGTTGTTCGGAGGGGTTAAGTGGTCAGCAGATCAATGTTTTTGTGAGGGGTAAAGTGGTCGGCAGATCAATGTTGTTGTGAGGGGTAAAATGGTCTGCAGATCAATGTTTTTATGATGGGTAAAGTGGGCAGCAGATCAATGTTGTTGTGAGGGGTAAAGTGGCCAGCAGATCAATGTTGTTGTTCTGGTTAAGTGGTGAGCAAATCAATGTTGTTGGGAAGGGTAAAGTGGTTGGCAGATCAATGTTGTTGGTAGGGGTTAAGTGGTCAGCAGATCAATGTTGTTGGTAGGGGTTAAGTGGTCAGCAGATCAATGTTGTTGTGAGGGGTAAAATGGTCTGCAGATCAATGTTTTTGTGAGGGGTAAAGTGGCTAGCAGATCAATATTATTGTGAGAGGTATAGTGGTCAGCAGATCAATGTTGTTGTGAGGGGTAAAGTAGTCAGCAGATCAATGTTGTTGTGAGGGGTAAAGTGGCCAGCAGATCAATGTTGTTGTGAGGGTTAAAGTGGCCAGTAAACCAATGTTGTTGTGAGGGGTGAAGTGGCCAGCAGATCAATGTTGTTGTGAAGGGTAAAGTAGCCAGCAGATCAATGTTGTTGTGAGTGGTAAAGTGGCCAGCAAACTAATGTTGTGAAGGGTTAAGTGTCCAGTAGATCAATGTTGTTGTTAGGGGTAAAGTAGTCAGCAGATCAATGTTGTTGTGAGGGGTAAAGTAGCCAGCAGACCAATGTTGTTGTGCGTAGTCAAGTTGCCAGCAGATGAATATTATTGTGAGGGGTAAAGTGGCCAGCAAATCAATGTTGTTGTGAGTGGTGAAGTGGTCAGCAGATCAATATTGCTGTGCGGGGAAAAATGGTAAGCAGATCAATGTTGTTGTGAAGGGTGAAGTGGTCAGCAGATCAATATTGCTGTGCGGGGAAAAATGGTAAGCAGATCAATGTTGTTGTGAGTAGTTAAGTTGCCAGCAGATCAATATTGTTGTGAGAGGTAAAGTGGTCAGCAGATTGTTGTGAGGGGTGAAGTGGCGAGCAGATCAATGTTGTTGTGAGTGCTACAGTGGCCAGCAAACTAATGTTGTGAAGGGTTAAGTGGCCAGTAGATCAATGTTGTTGTTAGGGGTAAAGTAGTCATCAGATCAATGTTGTTGTGAGGGGAAAAGTAGCCAGCAGACCAATGTTGTTGTGAGTAGTTAAGTTGCCAGCAGATCAATATTGTTGTTGTGAGGGGTAAAGTGGCCAGCAAATCAATGTTGTTGTGAAGGGTAAAGTGGTCAGCAGATAAATGTTGTTGTGAGGGGTAAAGTGGTCGGCAGATCAATGTTGTTGTAAGGGGTAAAATGGTCTGCAGATCAATGTTTTTGTGAGGGGTAAAGTGGTCGGCAGATCAATGTTGTTGTGAGTGGTGAAGTGGTCAGCAGATCAATATTGCTGTGGGGGGTAAAATGGTAAGCAGATCAATGTTGTTGTGAGTGGCAAAGTGGCCAGCAAACTAATGTTGTGAAGGGTTAAGTGGCCAGTAGATCAATGTTGTTGTTTGGGGTAAAGTAGTCAGCAGATCAATGTTGTTGTGAAGGGGAAAGTGGTCAGCAGATCAATGTTTTTGTGAGGGGTAAAGTGGTCGGCAGATCAATGTTGTTGTGAGTGGTAAAGTGGCCAGCTAACTAATGTTGTGAAGGGTTAAGTGGCCAGTAGATCAATGTTGTTGTGAGGGTTAAAGTGGCCAGCAGATCAATTTTGTTGTGAGTAGTCAAGTTGCCGGCAGATCAATATTATTGTGAGGGGGAAAGTGGCCAGCAGATCAATGGTGTTGTGAGGGGTAAAGTAGCCAGAAAACCAATGTTGTTGTGAGGGGCGAAGTGGCCAGCAGATCAATGTTGATGTGAGGGGAAAAGTGGCCAGCCAACCAATGTTGTTGTGAGGGGTAAAGTAGCCAGCAAACCAATGTTGTTTTGAGGGGTGAAGTGGCCAGCAGATCAATGTTGTTGTGAAGGGTAAAGTGGTCAGCAGATCAATGTTGTAGTGAGGGGTAAAATTGTCAGCAGATCAATGTTGTTGTGAGGGGTAAAGTGGACAGCAGATTAATGTTGTTGTAAGGGGTAAAGTGGCAGATCAGCTTCGGTTTCTTCCATGTTATTTTTTTGAAAACGTAGGAGAACCCACTGTTCATTTAGGGCTCCAACATTAGTCGGCTCATCAGATTCACATGTAGTGGGATAAAAGTGGTCCATCTTGAAGTCCAAAATACCCATGAACAGGATATACAAATGTAACCAACCCCGATTCAGTAGGAGTATAGTCTGTCTTATCTTATCTATGTAGAGTATCCAGGAATATACAAAAAAATACCTGAGAAGGAAGCTAAGTAAGAAATTTTATCAACCAGTTTGCTGCTTGTTGTCATAACTTATCTCTTTTTTTCAAAAATATTTGGTGACGTCATTATTTCTAGTGAGCTACTTCACTGACGTCATGGCCTACACAATGTTGGGAGGGATGCTTTCCTCGTTTATTGCTGGACAGGTGTTTGAGACACAAAACAGGTGGTTTACAGGTAAGTGGTATAATGGAGTGAGATTAGGAAGAAACGTTTGCAACAAGGGTGAGAAAATGTTAAAAAAAACTTGGTAACCAACGCTGATCGGGCCTGATATCATTTTTGTTCCCATTATTATCAAAAATATATAGCCCACCAAAGCATACAAACACATATACATTGTATGCTGGCGACAAATACATTTTATCACATGAAAATATAATAGTTTTCGTGTGTACTGCGGTGTCTATTACATAAATGTTGAAGACGTGAAATAGATAATTCATTTATCAAATAAGCCTGTTGTTTTTAGTTTGAAAACATTTATCACGTGCTTTCATTTCAAACTGATGTCATAGATGTGATGTCAAATAAATTTTGTACGTTGAGCCAGTGGTAATGATTGTTATTTTAACTTGGATGCATGGTCACTCCGATACACTTACTCGAAAAACTGATTCGTTCACGGCATATTGCTGACGGCTCACAAATTTACATTTACGATTCGAGGGAGTTTTTTTCAGAAAAACGCTGCATATATATTGGTGATTAACATTGGGAAATAAAACATTGATATTTACCGATTTAAAGTGTCTTTACATCGCAATTATTTAATAAAAATGATTGTTACATTGAGAGTCAAGAAAACAAACTTGCGTAAATCTAGCATTGCATCATTTTACTTTTTTCAGGAACAATGAAGACAGTAATCCCCCTCACAGTGACGTCATGCTTGGCCATTCTGTTATCCTCCCTCGCCTTCCTGTCCTCGACGGCTGTTCTGTACGCTGACTTTGTTGTGCTGACGTTTTTCCGTTCCTTCGTTTTCAGTGTTAACATGGATTTTATCATAATTTCGTGAGTAAATGTTTTATAACGCCGTCAGTCAGATTTTGATGTGGGGATGTCGGAATAGTTGTAAATGACATCGAGATTATTTCAAAACGAGTCTGAACATATTATTGTTTTTTTCCCCGTTAAGTCTGCATGTATATGCGTTATCTCATTTGTGACAAATAGGATCTTTTAAGGGTAACGCATGCTGGTATCACCTCTCAAGGTTTGGCATTTCCGAGCCAAAACAAGAACATCCATCTGCCAATTTTAGCTGTAAGTTTGTGTACATGTATGTTTATTTGGTGTGGTCGTCATTAAATTTAATCTGTGTTTATTGTCTAAAACAATTTAAAGGTTTCCTGAGAAATTCATGAGTGTACTATTTGGACTGGCCTTTTCCATTTCCGGTGTCCTTACCTTGACACAATATGCCTTGTTCACGTGGACAGAGAAATACGATGGCGCTATGACACACGTAAGTTACCGTATTTATTATTCCTTTATGTTGTTTTTATTATTAATGATAACATTATCTATCTAAAGTATTTTTTTATTTTTATTATCTACCTGACAAAAAAGGCTATTTTACAATTATCAAAACCTTTTTGTCATGCATGTAGCTAGTCATGATATACCGGGACTACATATTCCCTATTGTCTATGTATGGTAGTATATACTTATTGCAATGTTAAAGAAAGTTCTTAGAAAATAAAGCGATGGAAGTATGTTCAATTGTTGTTTTTTTTTTAAAATAATACAATTAACCCGACGATCTACATTTAATGAGATACCTTAGGCTGAAAACATTGGGCTTAGTCTCAAGCGTACATGTAAACCCATCATAAACACAAAGAAGAAATTCAGCGTCGTGGAATTGTGACGACCTGTTACGCTTTGAAATAATCCGTTAAATACTTCTAAACATCCCTTGTATGGATTGATGCAATCCCTGTCAGTACTCACTATATACACAGTTAGTAGAAACCTAGCTCATTGATATAACAGGTCATCAACGGGGAGAATATTGAACGCTTTTCAAGAATCAGGAACTCAAAACAGAAATAGATATATATATATTTGTATTAAATTTAAACCGATTATTTTCTCGAGTAAAGTACTTGTTTTTTCCTGGAAATATTCTGTTTAGAATCACAACATCTGACATAAATATGTTACCTAAATATAAAAAAAAATGACTTTAAGAAATCATCATCATCATCATCATCATCATCATACATATTGTTTCTCTGTTTCAGGTAAATATTGCCCTGTTGTGTTTATCGATTATCTCCCTTCTACATCCGGTCCTTATTTTCATGAGCCAAAAACGAAGATCGATCGATAGAGATACAGACAACACTATTCACTGTAGTGTCGGCTCCGAGGACATGAAAGGACTTTCGACAAAATTGTAATGGCTGCTGTTCAAAGTTTGAATCTTAATTGTTCGCAAATGTATCTACAAATCAGACATTCCCAGTGTCATGGACAAGAATATTAAAAAAAATCATATACGTGTCTTTGAATTGTGTCAAGTAAGACCTTACTAAATTATATGTATAATTTATTACTATTGTTATTGGCTGAAGTATCAAACAAAAAATAAATAACACAGTCTCCAGACTGCTTTACAGTTTGTACGTAAATTTTGAAATATTAGTAAAATCGATACACGGTTATATTACTCGTGGTATATTTTAAAGAATATCGTCAATACTGATGACTATAGCTTTAAGATCAATTTCACTTTCTCACAGACAATAGATATCATGCTAAATAATGCAATCAATATTATTGTTAATGCTGTATTATAATCTTCTTTAAGTGAATATGTATTTTGAAGTGTTTCACAACGAGGATGTGAATTCGCAACAACATTATCACAGTTATGTATCTATTCTTTCTTTTTCCTGAATAAACACTTGCATGGAATTTTAAATTGCTTCATTTTGATACTCTGGTTAGCATATTTTACCAAAAACATATATATCAATTGATAACAGTTTGCTGTATTGCATATGAATTCACGAGGAGAAACAAGTGTACTTTATCAATTTAAATAAGAATGATCAATTTGAAAAAAGGAATATCAAAGCTTCACTTTTAACATTTTAAATGTGTCGCAACGTTTGAAGACCTACTGGTCCTTTGTGTTAAAATTAAAGTTTATAAACGAATGATTTCTTTTCTGTTATTTGAAAATATTACGCATTTATAAGTTATACAATTATCTATCACTTACGTAAGTTGCATGCTGGAAACAATACATGTCTAGTTTTCGTATTGACCGGACCTTCAGGAGTCTTTTCTGTCCGAGGACGAGGCAGTCATCGACTGGAGCACGCGCTTAGTCATATACTGTCATGGTACCAACATGGTCTCTTCTGTCGGAGGACAGGGCAGTGCTCTACTGTAGCACGCGCTTAGTCATATACTGTCATGGTACCAACATGGTCTCTTCTGTCGGAGGACAGGGCAGTGCTCTACTGTAGCACGCGCTTAGTCATATACTGTCATGGTCCCAACATGGTCTCTTCTGTCAGAGGACGAGGCAGTCATCTACTGTAGCACGAGCTTAGTCATATACTGTCATGGTACCAACATGGTCTCTTCTGTCAGAGTACGAAGCAGTGATCGACTGTAGCACGCGCTTAGTCATACACTGTCATGGTACCAACATGGTCTCTTCTGTCGGAGGACAGGGCAGTGCTCGACTGTAGCACGCGCTTAGTCATACACTGTCATGGTACCAACATGGTCTCTTCTGTCAGAGGACGAGGCAGTGATCGACTGTAGCACGCGCTTAGTCATATACTGTCATGGTACCAACATGGTCTCTTCTGTCAGAGGACGAGGCAGTGATCGACTGTAGCACGCGCTTAGTCATACACTGTCATGGTACCAACATGGTCTCTTCTGTCAGAGGACGAGGCAGTGATCGACTGTAGCACGCGCTTAGTCATATACTGTCATGGTACCAACATGGTCTCTTCTGTCAGAGGACGAGGCAGTGATCGACTGTAGCACGCGCTTAGTCATATACTGTCATGGTACCAACATGGTCTCTTCTGTCAGAGGACGAGGCAGTGATCGACTGTAGCACGCGCTTAGTCATATACTGTCATGGTACCAACATGGTCTCTTCTGTCAGAGGACGAAGCAGTGATCGACTGTAGCACGCGCTTAGTCATATACTGTCATGGTACCAACATGGTCTCTTCTGTCAGAGGACGAGGCAGTGATCGACTGTAGCACGCGCTTAGTCATATACTGTCATGGTACCAACATGGTCTCTTCTGTCAGAGGACGAGGCAGTGATCGACTGTAGCACGCGCTTAGTCATATACTGTCATGGTACCAACATGGTCTCTTCTGTCAGAGGACGAAGCAGTGATCGACTGTAGCACGCGCTTAGTCATATACTGTCATGGTACCAACATGGTCTCTTCTGTCAGAGGACAGGGCAGTGATCGACTGTAGCACGCGCTTAGTCATATACTGTCATGGTATATTATAATATTATAAAGGATATAAGTGAACACGAAGTTCACCTTGACTTTTGGATATTTATCTGACTTTTGTACTACAAGATCCTTCCATTAACATATTATTTCATTTAATCATATAAAATATGAAAACCTAGCAATAACCTTATTGTTTATTTTAATCTAATTCAACAAAAAAAAGTTAAATCTAGATAAGCCTTACTCGTACAATATAAGTCGTTACTCGTAAGAGGACAGTCAATGGGTTAACTTGTCGTTGTCAATACTTCATATTTTTAATCTTTTTATGCTTCCATAGAATAGATCAATATGGTAAAAAGATACAGACAAGTATACCCTCATCTATGAATGCTGTCTTTCATAGTTGGGTGAACGAGTTTTTTTAGTACAGGCATGAAACTCGTCAGTTGCAGTCGACTGTGAAATTGTTCAGATTCTCATTGCAAAACATTCCATATATGTTTTACATTCATTTTCGTATTCGTTGTACATTGTTATCCCTAATTTATTGTTATGTATATGAATACTGGTCTGTGATATATCTCAATGTAGTATTTACGGACTAAGGGTAAATAACTAAAAATTCCGGATATGTATCCTTTTCCCTTTCGTTTTTATTAGATTTACCTTATTCCGGATAAGTTGTCCGGTACGATTTTTATAATAAATTCGACGTAGGGAATAGAAATGGTGACACCACGCTGTGGAATTGGGTGATTCTTACATACTACATAGAGGAATCCCGTTTTACTAGGTTACATACTACATAGAGGAACCCCGTGTTACTAGGTAACATACTACATAGAGGAACGCCGTTTTACTAGGTTACATACTACATAGAGGAACCCCGTTTTACTAGGTTACATACTACATAGAGGAACCCCGTTTTACTAGGTTACATACAACATAGAGGAACCCCGTTTTACTAGGTTACATACTACACAGAGGAACCCCGTTTTATTAGGTTACATACAACATAGAGGAACCGCTTTTACTAGGTTACATACTACATAGAGGAACCCCGTTTTACTAGGTTACATACTACATAGAGGAACCCCGTTTTACTAGGCTACTTACTACATAGAGGAACGCCGTTATACTAGGTTACATACTACATAGAGGAACCCCGTTTTATTAGGTTACATACAACATAGAGGAACCCCGTTTTACTAGGTCACATACTACATAGAGGAACCCCGTTTTACTAGGTTACATACTACATAGAGGAACCCCGTTTTACTAGGTTACATACTACATAGAGGAACGCCGTTTTACTAGGCTATGTACTACATAGAGGAACCCCGTTTGACTAGGTTACATACTACATAGAGGAACGCCGTTTTACTAGGTTACATACTACATAGAGGAACCCCGTTTTACTAGGCTATGTACTACACAGAGGAACCCCGTTTTACTAGGTTACGTACTTCATAGAGGAACCCCGTTTTACCAGGTTACATACTACATAGAGGAACCCCGTTTTACTAGGTTACGTCCTACATAGAAGAACCCCGCTTTACTAGATTACATACTACACAGAGGAACCCCGTTTAACCAGGTTACATACTACATAGAGGAACTTCGTTTTACTAGGTTACGTCCTACATAGAGGAACCCCGTTTTACTAGGTAACATACTACACAGAGGAACCCCGTTTTACCAGGTTACATACTACATAGAGAAACCCCGTTTTACTAGGCTACGTACTACACAGAGGAACCCCGTTTTACTAAGTTAGGTTCTACACAGAGGAACCTCGTTTTACTAGGTTACATACTACATAGAGGAACTCCATTTCAATAGGCTACATACTACATAGAGGAACCCCGTTTTACTAGGTTACATACTACATAGAGGAACCACGTTGTAT